CTAACTTTGCTGTTATTAACCACACATTGGATCTAATTTTTTGTATGCATAACCTATCCTAAACCCTCTAAACGTGTTGCTCAAACTACTAGAAAGAGAAAAAAAAAACACAAGCCAAACTGCAATAGATGTTTCACATTTCTGAACCTTTTTTTAATGCTTTATGAATGTTTACCCAGATTCCCAGCAGCCATTAAGAGGCTCTGCTTTAGATATATTGCCTTTGCCATGCCATTGGCCACCAGCATGACATGCGTGATTTAATGCTCACCACCTATTGGCTGAGCTCTGACAGGGAAATTTATTGGCATACTATGATTTGCTGTTGGGCCTCTTTGAGGTGAATTATGTCCTTGGTGCTGATAGGACACCAAAGCTGTGTCAGATTACAGCCATAAAAAAGAGTGCAGCATAAAGAGAGGCAAACACGGAGGTGCATAGAGGTGTAATTTCAGTGTCACGTCACAGGGATGAGCATATGACTAAAATGTAGTGTGCACTCCTTCTCCTCTCTGAGAGCCTTCTCCTCTCTGAGGCTGGCCACTTCCCTCATTTTATTCTGATGTATGTTCCAGTGACTCTTTCTATGCCTTAGAATTTTTTTTTTTCCACTCAGTTTTACAATAATAGCTTGCACAATAAATATTGGCATCATTGTCAGATATTAGTTAATCTGTAAATACAAAAATAAAAACATTTGTACCTAATGAAAGTAGACAATTTTAAGTGTTTCTTTGAAAAAAGTTCTTTAAAAGGTTCTTGAAAAGGTGTTGGAAACCTTGCATTTGTACTGATTTTCTTCTTCTTCCCTAAAAGTGAATGTATTTTATACACTGTAGATCACAGAGACTTTACACTGTAAATCACAGAGACCCCAAACTTTACCGGATAGTCCCAAACATACCCTGACACACATCTGTTCAATACTAGGTGGTGCTATAATAAGGCAATATGTGTTTTGGTTCTCTGGAACCAGTGAAACTAACATCCCTGGTTCCCGATCATTGCCTGTCACTGACTATGATCTCGATCTGCCCAGGTGAACAGCTGCTCGCTTGGTCCTGACCTCCATATCATTCCGCCTCTTCTCTCTGCTCTCCCATTTGGATTTGGATACTGCACAAACAAATTACCCGGTATTGACCTTTGCCTGTCTGTTTCTTCTTCTTGCCTTCCCCGAACTCTCCTCCTTTTTAAAGAATAATAAAAATTGTTTGACAAGTTTGAGTCTTGGTTTAGATCTCAGTACTGTAGCGTCTGGACCAATCAAACACACAATTTTTCATTTGATTTAACAAATCAGTTATTCATTAGATTAACAAATCGTCACAGTCCCCTCACCCAATAAACTGGATGCCAGGATGTCTGCAACGACACTAGGCCCCCCCTGGTTACCATGGCAACCCTGACACCAGATACATTTACGACCTAATGAAATGTAAGTAGGGAAAATCACTGCCTTTTTCATAAGGAAGAGACACAGTGCACAGTAGAAATGGACTCTTCTAATTAATCCATAGGAAAACCTTTCTTTGAATGAACACACATACCCTTCAGGTCATCGTGTATGTTGTCTTTGAGATTTTATACTGTTCTATGCAGGCTTATGATGGAAACACTCATTCCTGTCATCTTACCTATATGTAATCCTACCATGTTTAGTATCTATGAATTAGTCTTCTGATGATCTAAAAGTAATTTCCCTTAACCAGGAAATTAACGTTCTTAGAATTGACAGACAGTTGACCCTGAGAGGTCAAGTAAATATCTACAGCGGATCTAAATATTTATAATTAATTATAACTAGTTATGATTAAGTATTCATATTTCCCTATGAGCTGATTCGCTACAGTACATTACAGAATCTTTTGAAAGTATTAAATGATCTGTTACTAGTTGTCAACTCAAAAATCTGTTGTTTTGGTTCTTTTGTATCTAAGTGCAGCCTTTGAAACTATTGATCGCTCAGTTTTACTGAAATGTCTTGAGCAACATGTTGGCATTAAGGGATCAGCTTTAAATTGGTTCTCATTCTGTCTTAAGGGGAGACACTGCAGGCAAAAACACTGTTTTTTCATGCACCTGTCAAGTTTGAGATTTTGGGCTTTTTGGTTTTTCATAAAGTGTTTTTTCAGACTAGTGGAAAGAAAACATCCAAAAGACACTGTTAAGTGTTTCTTTTATAGCACTTTATCTATTTGTGTCAATAGATTTAAATTATAATACATATTTTTAAAGGCCGTTTTTTCAAAATGAGTTTTTTCTCCTACACTGAGCCATAAATCTCCACCTCAGTAGCACTTACACACACACACCAAACTTTACATTTTTACTCAAACCCACGACCTTCGGGTTACAAGTCTGGAATGTTTTGATTGTCTTTGTTTAATGCATTTTGTTAAATTTTGAAATCGCTGTCATTTGAAATTGACCGATGACATCCTAACATGCAGTCCATGTAAATGTAATGTTTTTTTTGTTTAATGTTTGTTTCAGTCAAACAGTAAGTAGGAGTGATTCCCTTTGGAAGTCAGTTGCCCCTTTTGACATGAGTTGCTGTAACATCTTGTTTGTCAGCCCTAACAATAATTAAAAAGCCAAGATGGACCTTGCTGGAAAAAACACATTATATCTGAAAAGATACACTTCAGTTGAATCACCTGATCATCCACTTAAGCCATTGGTTTTAATTTAATTGGTTTTAATGGTCATAATTGTCAATTATTTATTTATTATTAAACTTTAAAGATTTTAATTTAATTCCAGTGTTATTTCTGCAATAACAATCCTGAATTAAAATTGAATACTCATGTGAAAACCACACATTTTATTTAGTATTTTATTTATGCATAAAGTAAGCAACTCTCGTCTCCTCACAAAAACAATTAAAAGTTACTGAAGTGTCTGAAACAACAACAAAATGTGTCTCTTTTGCTATCAGAGGTTGTTTTTGGAAAACACTCTCAGCTGAAGAGAAGGAATTCAGTGAAGTTGTTAAATCAACTGTCTGCAACATCATGCAAGAAGAAAAAAAGTGATGCTTTGTTAACTACTACTGATGATCTCTTTCTCTGTCCAAGCAAATGCCTAAAATAATTTAAAGGTATGACTTCTATTGCTTCTTTCTTTTTATCCAAGTATGCAAACTGCACTATTGTTCCCAACACTTTGGAGAGATGCTTTGATTAGTAACTACAGACTAATTATGTGTGTGCGTGTATGCAATATTCAACTGTATATGTATATAGATGATCATTTCACACATTTCTCTCCAGTGTTTTAAAATTATATTAGCATAAAAAGGTCCTTAAAATACACAAAGTTTGTTACTATAGAACTAAAAGTTTTAACCAATTCAGTTACAGTATATAAACGTAACATTACAAAGAAAAATATTCAGTCATTACACAGAAATGCAGCAATCTTTTGTCAATAAACAGCAGACATCCCTCTAAAGATATACTCTCTTTGTAGTTGCCAGATACTATCACCAGAAAGCATTCTGATGCAAGGAAATGCCCAATTTCATCCCTAGTTGTCCATCAGCTCTTAAAAAATACAGACGAGACTCTCGTCAAACAGTAGATATCATGTTAACAATAGAATGAGTAGTTAATAAACTGACCGATACAATATCATTTGGTGCAACAATAACATCAGATCTCTGCCCTTGTCATCTGTTAGTGGCCCACATGTACTGAAGGCATTTATATGCAGATTCACATGAAAGCAAACCTATGCATGAGACAACACTGCTATATCCCACTGGAAACCTCGACTTTAAAACTTCCATCTCAGATATTACAACGGAGTCTTACAACAAAACAACAAATCTATACCAATAGATATTTCAACACAGCTGTGCCTGAACACAAGGCAATATAATGTTAAAATGACTTTGGAAAGATAACAACAGGCAGACTATCTGTCCTCATGTCAATATTTCAGTAAAATAATATGTGAATAATGATGGTGTAAAAAAAAAAAAAGTACAAAACAAAATACACATGAACACATCCTAAGGCCACAAGATCTTATTATATGTTGCACATATAAATCTGTACATGAAATTGTGGGGCTTTTGGACGTTTTCATTGTGTCATTTACCATGTAGATGCATTAACAGTGTAGTCAATACTCTACAATGAATCTCACAAAAACATATCTCAGCCATATAGCACTCCAAAATCAGGAGGGGGAGGGGGGGGTTGACTTTTAGCATTCAGAAAATGAAGCCTTTCTTTTTTTTACTCTCATTACGTAATGCAACCAACCATTTTACTTTTGAGTTGATCTGTAATTCTCATTAATGGCTGTTATTGATAGCTCCTATTGGCCAAATAAAGCCACTAGGACAAAATTAAATATATCATTTTAATGTATATTCAAAAACACTTTTTTCATTATGGTAATAAGAATATCAGCGAAAGGTGCTAAATGATCATACAAAAATACTGTAACAATGAAAAACGTAATGGCATAAAACAGACCTCATTTTCTTGATGCAAAATGTATGATTGTGAGGACCAATGATGCCCAAATCATGGCCTTGACAGTTCTTGTGAGATTTGCCAGTCATTAAGTGAGTAAAGTCAGAGAAAGGGACACTTCCAGGGAGCAGAACTCAACCGGTGCCGTCATTTCCACCAGCTCATGCCAATGACAGAGAACAAACCAGCTGTTACACATAGTATTATACATATCTTTCAAAGTCATACATAGTTACAATATCAGATCAAACATGTATCATTGAGAAAAAGCCTGTGAATGCTTAATGAATTAATACATGGAAGCACACTGTGCATTTCCATATGGTTACACATGGGTACAGTGTTACAAACAGATCTCGCGATGGTAGTAGGACATTACCTGAGTCCTCAGGACAGTAGGGTACTAACCCTTAGCACTTTACAGCAGGCCTATACATCACACATGATGCTGATTTTAATGAAGTGTGTCTCAATAGGTGTCAGTCGAAAGATGATGGGTTGTACCTTTTGTTTTTTTGGTTAGTAACATGAAATTCCCATGTTAGGTGTTTTTTGTTCTTCACCTCTTAAAAGTACCATAAAACCCCTTCTAGCCCCATAATATATTACCAAAAAGTATAAAACAACCCTCAATGATCAAAAGAGAACCTTGTTTGTTTCTAAATAAAGAAACAAAAGAGGAGAATTTCCCCTCATCCTGTCTGTAGCGCATCTGTCTGTCAGCAGGTGGAGCCACAGTGCCAGTGGCTCTGAGAGAGGTCTGGGTGTGCTGTCGTCTCAGGGCTTGTCTAAAGAGTATGGTGTCAGACAGCGAGTCGGCCCGGGGCGGGATGTAGAGGACTCCACGTGGACGGAGGGGCTGCGGGAGGCTCCTGGGTGAAAGAACAAGGCTGGGCCTCGACTTTTGCCACGCCGCGACCCTGACACAATCGCCGGTGTCTCAACAGTCTGTCTGTCCGTGAGAAGTTCTTGAGGTGAAAAATGGAGAAGTTAGTGGAAGTGTTCAACTAAAGCATTTACACTTTTGACTTCAACTCAATGATTATTCTTCCTTGCGTTCATTTAATGAAAAACCTAACTGCAAACTAGAAATTAATTAATTTTAATTTCTAAGTGTATTCCATTTGTACTTGGCTACAGTGACTACTGGGTTGAAATCATGCTTCTAATTTAGAAAACACACACACACAAAAAAATCTTAAAGAAGTTGCTTTATGTCTATGCAGGGTCAGAAAGCTCTCAGATTTCATCCAAAATATTTTGACCTTTTTAAAATACCTTTTTTAAAAATGTCTTATAAAACGGATAGTTCCGGTCCTTGATGCTGATTGGTTGAGCCGAGTTCGAAGCTGTTGTAAATTACACTACAAACATACACCTTTGTTTTCTTCTGCGTGTTGCTCGGCAACCACTTTGTTGGAACCACAACGGTTTCTGAGGAACTACATTAATAGCCGCTTTTCCACTATCAGGCCGAACGGTTCTAAGAACTGTCAGGTACGGTTCCAGTTGTATTTCCACGTGAGCCTGGTACGGCACAGCACGATTACAAACCGTTCTCGGCCCGGAATTCTCGGCACGGTTAGACAACCATGCTGAGCCGTGCTGGTAGAGTCGCCACTCAAGATCTGTCACTTGTCTGTTGCGTGGCTGCTAGTTTCTCCGTAGCTTGCTAAGCGCACTATTTTGAGCAATGTAAACACAAATTAGTAATAAAATTTTAAGAAATTTCTGATCATCCTCCATAACGCGGTGGTTATTTACACCTCATATCATATGTAAGCACTTGTGTTACCACGGCAACGACTGACGCACTTGAATTGCATTCCAAAGAGATCCGTTATCAGCTCCGCAGTGGAAAACGAAACCATAACTGTACCGGCCGGCTCGGATCGGCACGGAATGGAATGGTTTTGCAAAGAGAACCGTTCAGCGCGATGGTGGAAAAGCGGCTATGGTTTGGTGGAAGAATACGGTTTTTATTTATATCATTACACTTTATTTGCTCCGTTTTATTCTGTGAAACCTTACTACGTATATGGAATAACCGTTTTATAAAAGCAATAAGCCCCGTGAAGCCGTGGTTTACAGTGAATTTATAACAGCTACGGGGGTTTTAGGCACTCCGCTTCGCGTCATGTTATAAATTCACTGCAAACCACGGCTTCTTGGAGCTTATTGCTTTACTTAGCTGTTATAAATTCACTGTAAACCACGGCTTCTTGGGGCTTATTGCTTTACTTAGCTGTTATAAATTCACTGTAAACCACGGCTTCTTGGGGCTTACTGCTTTACTTAGTGGTTATAAATTCACTGTAAACGACGGCTTCACGGGGCTTATTGCTTTATTTTAGTATATTGTCTAATATCATTTAAAATTAGACATTCTATTAAAATATATTTTATAAAAATTCTTACACAAGTCACAAATTGGTTTCTCTTCCCTCCTTTTTGAGTCTTGAATGTCCGATTTGACATCTTGTATATACAACCTGGTCATATCTATTTTCAAAACCGTAATTACTTCTTTCATTTACTGCTGGATTCACCTCATATAGTTTGCATTCATTTCATTCCATTTTCATGGCGCTTTAAGTTTTGGTTACTTGGACTTTAAATGGAGGGACAGAAACCACTCAGGTTTAAATAAAAACAGCCTATAATTTTAGTTTTGAAGATTAAAGGTGGGGTAAGCGATTTTTCAAAAACGCTTTAGAAAACTGATTCGGGCCGAATAGCAAAACAAACTTGTAGCCAATCAGCAGTAAGGGGTGTGTCTACTCATGATGTGGAGGAGAGAGCGTTCAGTCCAAGCCAGCGACAGAAAGATAGAGATGGCGGATAAAAAACAAAAGAGGAAAACGTCTGCGGAACAAAAGAAGGTTTACGGCAATAAGGCAAGAAGTAGAACCAGAGTAAATATCGGATCAGCTTTCCAGCGCTGGAGAGAACTCAAGGAGCGGA